GCCAGGACAATCGGTATCGTTTCTGGGGGCTTTATGGACAAGTCGCAGGGGAACACGACCAGAAGTTTCTCGACCGACACACCGACGACATGGAGAGTATCTTGCTCTTTGTAAGTTTCGCCTGCTTATCTTTGATCCGTTCTGAGACTGATGTTTGATCAGTCTGGTCTTTTCTCCACTGTTAGTTCGGCTTTCATTGTCGCGATGGAGTCCAGTCTCAGTCCCGACCCCAGCGACACCACGAATGCCCTTCTCGCGCAACTCGTGCAGATTGGGCTCGGCAACCTCACTGCTGCGGGCTCCACGCCCGTAGACCCAGCATCTACGTGGTCGCCGGCTGCGTCGACCGTGAGGATCCAAATGGTCGCATATGCAAGCTTGTCCATGAGCTTGCTAGCAGCATTCGGGGCTGTCCTAGGCAAGCAATGGCTCGGGTATTACAAGTTCTCCAGATATGGTCGCGGCTCGCTGGAGAGCCGAGGAAAGCGCAGACAAGAGATGTTTGACGGCCTCGTCACATGGTATTTCGATGCTGTCGTACAGTCCTTTCCCGTCTTGCTTCAGATCTCCCTCCTTCTCTTTGAGATCGCCCTCTGTGCCCACATGTGGTATCAGCAGCCCAGCATCGCTTGGGTGATTATTGCCATCACGGTCTCTGGATTTCTGTTCTATTTTCTTACAGTGATAGCACGTTTGATATCTCCTTCTTGTCCATTCCAAACGCCGATGTCAACAATCTTGTGTATGTTGGGCATTGACAGTAAGATCATTTCGTGAATTCTCGTGGTCGTCCCTCGTCTGAATCAACATTGCAGGGGTTCTACGCCCAGTGTTCAAACGAGTGTTCACTTATCTCCAGCAGCTTAAGACATCAGCGCATGGTGAGCCATATTTTCTTGCGTGTTCTTCTATTTTGACCGTTGTTGATTAGGCGTATTGCTGGGGATATTTGATACCCTCAGATCAAGTTGGACCCGATTTTATGCAGCGTTTGCAGGTGACATTCTTATATTCTCTTACACAGGATGCCCATTGCTCATCTCACTCCCCAGGTCCTGTGTGCGCTGCTGGCGCATTCGCACGACGGCCTCTTCAGCTATTATCCGCCGTACTTTGCAAAGGGTTGCGTTATTTGGCTCCGCGCCCTTCGACAATGATTGGGGACTCAGAGGCACAACAGCTCGACCAGGATCTGGATGTTTTGGTGGAGAAGAAACCTATCCTTACCCTCGACCTCCGGGACATATCCACCAAAGATCTCGAAGCACCTAGTATCAAGTGGCTGCTTGAGACATCCACTGATCCTGAAGTAGTTCTCGCTACTGCCAAACTTGTTCCGCAGGTCGAATGGCCCCTGGATCTGGATGTTTCAGACATGCTGCATCAGCTGTCTGATATTTTTACGAGCTGCGTCGATGTTCAAGGGAACATCGTACCATCGTTGGAGGAGAAGGCCTCAGCATGTACAACGGCTCTAACTCATCTATACTATGGACGTGTTCTTCAGGCACATCCTCGCTGTGACAATTTTATTGCCGGTGAAAAAGACGCTGACGTGTTTTGGGAGATTTTCCGTGGAGGCATTACAACAGACCACACGGTTCTTCACACGACTATAAATCTTTGTAGTCCAAATAACTTTCCGTATGCTCCGTTTGTGTCAGATGCTTGCCCTGACGCTGTCCTTGAGCGGCTGTCGCATCTTCTTCCCTATCACTTTGTTACTGGACGAGCGAATACAGACATAGAAGACCTCGCGATAACGGTGATATCAAAATTGCTATCCTCTCCATCCCCTCCGTCGACCCAGATCATAGCCAATTGCACTCTTCTTGCCTGCGTCATGGTCAGCACTCAGGTTGACAAGAAAGACATAATCCGGATTGACAAAAGGTGCCATCGACTCATTTGGTGGTTTTTCTCCATGATTAACAAAGAGATCATGTAGTTCCTTTCTGCCTAAACTCAGTGGCCTCCTTTTGGCGCATTTCCAAAAGGCTCTCTGGGCATGGGGTGGAGATGAGCTCGAGGATGATAGACGTCGGGCATGGAAACTCCTCGGCGTCATCTGTCGCATCCTCGAGCTTGCTGGATATCACGATCCTTCATACCACATCATGCGGAACCTGAAAGTATGCAGGAAGATTTATTCACGAACGAAGTCACCCGAACAAAACGATGCCTCTGTTTTGTTGTTGGTAGCTCTGCGAAACGTACTGCACTTCACGTTCGCTGCTGCCAACGTATCTCGTGATTCAGCTGAGTTGTGGTATGCCAGCCCATTTTGGGCAGGCGATTCCCACCCACCAGAAGACTTCGACTGGATGCTGGACTACCTCAACGACATCTATTCCAACGACCACGAAGCGGCATACGACGTCCTTTTGCTACTAGGTAGCATTAGAGGGAGCTACAACCCTGCTAAACATCATATGTTCATCGAAAATCTCATCGCCTGCATGAACAATAACATGCCCTTCCATTTACGCCATGCCGCTCTTCGCGCTGCTCACAGTGCCCGCGAAGAAATTGCCTCTATCGATGCCATTGATGATGCAAGGCTACGAGAGATAGTTTTAACCAATCTCTCCCCCGCTATTATGTCCGTGGTTTGTCTGCACCCAAGTCTAATGCTCGCCAATGATGATTCCGACCGCTTTTTCGATTATAACCGCGACTTGTGCTATCTGGAAATAATCTTTGCCCTCGCGAGGAATCCCATCTGGCACCCCCATTTATCTGAGGATCGCCATATCGATCGGTGCATTAGCATGATTCCAAAGTACTGCAATTCCGAATACTACAGCCAGCATGCCTTTTGCATAGCTGGTATCCTCCTTCGCATCGCACCTGAACAGACATCGGATACATCGCTCGATTCTGTCACAGAGCAACAGTGGTGGGACGTGATGAGATGCGCGTGGTATTATCTCCCCTATATCATTCGCGAAACACGCGATTCCGAGCTCCTTGTCTTTGTGGAACGCACAAAGAAGTATATGCAGATCGCTTCGAAATATAGTCTCGAGATTCAGAATCTCATCGGAAAAGTGGATGATGTTCTCGAAAGTATGAAGCCGGAGATACCAGCGGAGGAGGGACTGAATATGCAGGGTTTAGAGCAGGCAGAGGAGTTCACAATTGCTGTGAAGGATTTGAGGACTGTAGCCAGCAACATGCTGGAAGGCGTTGTTCAACCATTAGTCCCCTAGTCATGACACATATCTTAGAATCCTAGAATCAGAAAAAGTCACGGTCCAGCGTATGAGTAAAAAGTGTCAAGACCTCGACGGAATCCACGAAATCAAACACTGCCACTGGGGAGGTTCTGCGCTCTTCCTTGCCAGTCGCATCCTTTCATCGATATGCACGGTAAGACAGATACGGGCCAATATATGCGGACTTTATTGAAAATCATTCGTCTCCGTATCACAATCGCCCTTCTTTGGCAGAGGTGTAAGGAATAGAGCTGAAATCAATGAATTTATCTTTTCTGGGAGGTCCGGGCGATGGATGGGGTTTCTACATCTGAGACGTAAATGGTGCTATCAAAGGACATTATGAACTTGCCTTCACGGAACGCTGCTGGCTGTTCAGACGAAGCTACGACTCGGATGCGTAGTAAGTAAGCCTAATCAGCACACACACCCAAAGGTTGTCATGTCAGGAACACACTCCCGTCCTCTTCTTGCTGCCCAAACTGCAGCTTGGAACCAGCTGGCATATAAGAATCCCGTAAGGTGCATGCGGGTGGACGTTGCTCCCAAGGTCAATATAGGATTAGATGTTGTGGATGTAATTGAATTTCCTCACGCGCGTGCCACTGTGGTCTCACTTACATATTACTAATTGTCCTCGCTTAAGTCTCGCGGATACGCAGACGACGAGGATATAGCCAGCAAATTCGAGGACCCCGATGCGAGTACACGGGATCCTCATGGATTCGGGGAGTAAACATACCCAAACACGAACAAATATGCGCCAAACTCAACAGAACTATCGTAAAAAACGCACAGTATGATTAAGGGAGGGAAGGGAGGGTGCGCAAAATTGCTTAGTAGCTAGCGGTACGATTAATTCGAGTGAGAAGGGAACAGAATTAAAAACAATTGGCGTACCTAGCGGGACGAATAATTCGAGTGAGAAGAGGTGAGGACCTCCAAACTCACCAAGTCCCGCTAGACATAGGCCAACAACTCCGCTAAAGGAGGTGGCAATGAGGATTGCGAGAGAGATATTAGTCATCTCAAATGATGCACGGGGCATCGGCCATAGGTGGCGAAGGGCCAGGCCCTTGACAAACAATTTTCGGGAAAACCCGAAAGGAGGACTGCTGGGGAGCCCGCTCGTCCAATTACCCTGGTGTAAATAAAGTTAAACTCGATTAAACAACTGCCCTGTATAGAAGGAAGATCATATACCACTCAATTCGTTCCTTCATTAACACGACCACATTGTCGACTGTGACTTATCACTATCCTTTCACAGTACTAATAACCTTTATATTTCACCATATGCATGGACCATTCAATTGAGCACCGATTTTCATGAAAAACCAAGACTCGCGGGGAGTTGTCGGCAACCCCCGACCACCAGCTTCAACGTTCGAACCGACATACATGAACTTCGACTTCGACTCAAGGTCACTGTCCTCGAGAACTTCAGGGAATGGACCCTTTATACACGGCTAATTATACCTGTCAGAGTACGATGCGGTTATCTCGGGCTCAGACACAGAAACACTCAGACTGCGCAAACGTAATTTGGTAAAGTGCTCTACAATGTTGTCATTGTTATGTACTAAGTACCACACCCTGCTCGGAACTTCGGTCTGTGGATGGTTCGATTTGCTTGCACACACTAGGACTCAAGTGTCGGAGTTGTATGAGATGGGCTTCACTGTGACGAGAAGTTGAAGAAGCTAAGTCACGACATAATCTCGAGGCCTAGGAATGTCACTTGCCTTTCAACTTGGTTCCCCATTCCTGTCATCTTCTAACTTTTTTTAACTATATCCTCACCACGAATCGTACGATCGCCACAGACACCGCCTCTGCTAATTTGCCCCAAAGCTGCATGTAGTTGCAGGGGCTTTGACGCTCACTCTCTGCCTCGTTGAAGTAATCCCTGTGATTCGTATTTTCTGACGCTCACCAAGCCCTTCTGACAGGTGACTAAGAATTAATTTTCTGAATCTTACCATCAACACGAGTTTGCCTCGAGTTCATTTGTCGGATGCGGCTTAGCGGGAATCCGTAGGCGAATGCCAATCGTTGAGTCAGTATCCAATCGATGAGACGTCTGGAGTATGGGTGCAAGGAACGTGGTCAAAGTTCGTTGGGTTTTAAAAGAAGTACAGTCAAACGCCACGGTGCCCCAGTACCATCCTTAGCATCGCTTCCAAATCACGATGAACCCAGATGCAAGGTACGTAGAATCTAGACAAGATCCTTGCGCCATTTTTTTTCTAACAATGATGAGTAGAAACAAGCATACAAACGTCGTACTCTTTGGGCAAGGAGGAGCAGGAAAAAGCTCACTTGTCAATCTCATAGCGGGAGAGAATGTAGCAAAAACATCCAATGACCTGACACGCTGTACGCTGAAGTGGGAGGAGCATTCCGTCAATTTTGGTGGCGACTCTTATAATATATTTGACACTGTTGGACTCGAGGAACCACAGCTGGGAATCCCACAGTATCTCGATGCTGTCGAGAATGCCTATAGTCTCATCCAGAAATTGGAGAGACAAGGCGGCATCGATCTACTTATGTTCTGCATGCGCGCAGGCCGACTCACCGCTACACTTCAAAACAATTACCGGCTCTTTAACGAATTCCTTTGTGAAAAGAAGGTCCCCATCGTTATAGTGATCACATATCTTGAAAACGAAGTCGGGGAAATGGATGACTGGTGGAAGAGAAACGAGAAAGCCTTCCGTCACCAGGAGTTCTATGTCGATGGACATGCGTGCATCACCGCCATTCAAGGCAATTGTCCGGAACGGCATGAGCAATCGCGCACCACGCTCCGCAAACTTGTCAAGGAGTGCGCTACTGGCGGGCACAAGCGAGCATGGAAAGGAGGAGATAACCTGTTCGTGTCGTTGATGCGACAGCTGAGGGGGCTAGTTTCAGGGAAATCGCGTTCGAAGAAGGATAATATTGCCCCTCGCCTTACCAAGAAGTGCGGTTTGTCTCCGGAGCTCGCAAAGCAGTTGGCCGATAGGATTAAGAAAGACGTGGGAGCTACTTGACTTCCGGTGTTCGATAGCTTTGTGCTCATTCTGGTTGTAGACTTACCTTCCCAATACGTGATAACTTACACACATAATGATTTCACTCTTTGAAATTCCCCTTAATTACAACACATGCATGTCCAATTCGAAAAACAAGCACCTCAGAGTCACACACCACAGTTTCGCGTGATTCAGGATGTCTTGGAGACATTCTTGGTGACCGTTACAATGTGACGAAAACCTTTCCTATATATTACGATATATAACGATATATGACGATATCTTCTTCTCACAAGTTCTCTGATGGCCTACGAGCTGGGCTGACCCCGAGCCTAAATTCTGCCGGCCGAATTTGGCACGTGGCAGAATCACGTGTGACGGTTTTCATATGGATGTAAGAACACTCACTCGACAGCAACATGGTTTCAATATTGCAAGTCCCATCTTCGTTTGCATTATGATCTGTGACCATGATCTCATTCTGTAGTGCTACAGGCTCATCAACGCGCTGCGGTTCCAAAATCAATTTAAAAGTCTACAAACGGAATGAGAGGCTATCGAACACGAAGTCAAGTAGCTCCTTCTACCGCGTCTTTCTTAATCCTATTGACCAACTGATTTGCGATGTCCGGAGACAAACCGCACCTCTTGGTGAGGCGACGGACAATATACTTCGAACGCGAATTCTCTGAAGGTAGCTTCTTCAGCTTTTGTCTCGACGACACTAACGGGTCGTCTCTTCCTCTGCATCCTCGCTTCTTCCCGTCAGCAGTGAACTCCTTGACAAGTTTGCGGATCGTGGTGCGCGATTGTTCATACCGTTCATACCGTTTTGGACAATCACTTCGAATAGCGGTGATGCACGCATGTCCATTGACATGGAACTTCTGGCGACGGAAAGTTTCCTCGTTTCTCTTCCACCAGTCATCCATTTCCCCGTCTTCGTTTTCGAGGTATGTGATCACTATAACGATGGGGACATTCTTTTCACAAAGGAATTCGTTTAAGAGCCGGTAATTGCTTCGAAGGGTAGTAGTGAATCGGCATGCGCGCACGCAGAAGATGAGTAGATCAACGCCACCTCGTCTCTTCAATGTCTGGATGAGGCTATGAGCGTCCTTGACAGCATAGAGGTAGGTTTGCGACTGTGATTCCTGCAGTCCAGCAGTATCGAATATATTATAAGAGCCACCATCGAATTCGATGACATGTTCTTCCCACTTCGTCGTGCAGCGTTCCAGGTCACTGGATGTCTTTGCTATGTCCTCTCCCGCCATGAGATTGATGAGTAAGCTTTTGCCTGCCCCTGCCTGCCCAAAGATGACAACATTTGGGTTGCTACTGATCAATGTTAGGGAAATGCGATACAAAGAGTATAGGGAATACGTACCTCGCAGTCTTTCTAGAAGGGATGGGGTGCATACTGCCTAGTGACGATCCAGTGTGAACCCCTGTGTTATTCGATGGGCGACACTGCTCGATGAGTTTGCAGACAGCGTCGTATGACTGGGTACGACGCTCCACGAACACAGGTCCTGTCATTGTCGCCGTGGTGATACACGCGTGGCCAGCGAAGGTCATCCCGAGGTTTGAGATGGTTCGCTCATTAACCCTCCACCAGTCTTCCATCTCTGGTTGATAGGATTCCAAACATGTGACGACAAGGACAATTGGAACTTTTCTCTTTACTTGGGAGCGGATCAACTCGTAATTCCGGCGGAGGGTCCGAATCTCTCTCTCACCCCGCACACAGTACATGACGAGATGAATATCGCCTTGCTTCATCAAAGTTCGAAGGAGCTTCTTCAACATTCTTCGAGCTACTCTATCTGGGACCGTGCCTCTGGGGCCCTCGTCCAAACCTACAATCTGATTCAGTAATAGTCGTGAAGAGCAGCGAACTGGACCAACCAGCTGTATCGACAAGCTTTACCTTCGACATCTCGTTCCGAATCATCAAATTGTCGTACATATTAGTTTCAGCCGTACATCCCCCAGCATCGCAGGATGTCACTGCAATGTTCGTCCCAGCGATTAAATTGACCAAAGAACTTTTACCAGATCCGGCCTCTCCGCAAATGACAACGCATTGAGATGAGACGGAGGACTGATTTCAAGTTAACGTTAACCTCAGCTTGGCTTAGGAAGAGTCAAACAATACTTACACTAGATGATTGTGCGCGAGCAGGACTTGACATTGCAATAATGGCTCAAGAAAGGACAGAGAAAGGTACGCCTTGACTCTTGACTTGCGCCTTCGCTGTTTTTGAGTAGTGTCAGGAGCCAGTGCGCTTATTTCAGCATGTTCCGTACACGTGCCAGTGAAATCTGAGAAATTAGAATGGTGTTGGGCATTGGGGAGGAGGCGTAGCTGCGTAAGCTCATAGATATTTAAACCACCATGCTCATTGCTGCCTAGTAAATACGCACATGGCATATCATGACACCAAGCTGTCGATCTAGCTGCAGCGGTGAGTGCGGTACGGACGACTCAGTGAGCCATCGCATTATTTTTAACCTGATACTGGTGAAAATCAAGTGGTATCCTAGTGTTATTAACAAGCATCGTGTCATCAGCATGTTCATGCTACATATCGGTAACGGCGCAAGCACCCATCCCCGACTCCTTTGTTTGTCATTCGCTAGTATGTGTACATCATATTGGCAGTAGTAGACATTCATTACTATAGTTCATTCTTTTACTGACTTCACTAGTATACACTTGTTTTATCTAGCCTTCCGTTTGTTCCCGCGCGTCGGTACCACGAACAAAATCCTCGAGGACAAATATAACGATGAGCAAACTCGGAGAAGACACCGTCAACGAAGAAAGCTGAAGTGACAACGGACGCACTGATAATTCCTTTACAAGAGTGAATCTAGCTAGATCGACTCAACTTCCGATGCCGAATAAAACTGTAACACGGCGTATACACCTCACCACGAGAATGACAGGAAAAAACCGATACATAGGAGTCGGGGATTACTTGGCACTGCCAGCCTGGGTCTCGATCGCCTATTACATAATGTGCCACTCAATACGACTTTCACTTATGTTATAAATTTCCAGTTCAACGTTGCAACACCTATTAATTTCATTTCACAGAGATTCGTCCCCTTTGACTTTCTAACGGCCCTTTCTGCCAACGCGAAGCAGACTCTATGTGGAGCGCTGGAGCGCTGGGGTCTGTTGACGATTCTCGCACAATCTCTTGCCCCTCCTTTCTTCATGGAAAGTCTTGGTCTGCAATACGGTTTCGCACTGTCTGGATTGAAGTAAGGTGTATTACTCGACAATTACTCGATATCTTGCATTTATTTACGTATCATAATGTTTCATAATGTATGACTTTGAATGTACTTGGGACGCTCTCAGTGTTCACATCGTAAGGTGCCTTTGATCATGCATCCATACCATTTCTGAACGAACCAAGGGGTATTTCTGTCCCCGCTATGGGTTGTAGCGGAGCCTGGTCGTGATCAGTTGCACGATATACCAGAAGAGCCAAAATATTGATATATCCCCAATAACAGCAGAAGGGCCGAGACTGAAAGCTTTGAAGGTATTTGAGGAACGTTTTTGTATGTGTATCGGGTCTGGAACTGTGACAAGAACTCAGTGAGTGTTGTTATCGATTACCATGGGCGATAGCGTGTACCTCCTGAACCAAGTTCTTGAGGACGTCTTGAGAATGCAGCGTGATGAAAGTGTCTCGGATGCTCTGATGCATCTTGTTGATTCCAGTAACGTACGTCAAGATAACAACCATGCGCAGAAGCAAATGTCAGGCCTTAGGTCTCCAAGTTTAAACCGCCACAGTTATCAGTTGCACAACCAAAAAACAAAAGTTGAAGCCGACTGGACCTACGCAATACTCGAAGGCGGTCGATATCATATGTGTAGCATCGAGATGGACGAAACTGGGTGGGAACACAGATGCACTTCAGCAGGCGTGTTAGGGTTGGAGATGGATATGTTTTGAATGGCTGTCGTAATTATAACCTGCTCTCGCGGTAGAACCATACGATGGGGAGGCCTGGAAGTGTAGTCTACATGCCGGACATCACCTCTCCTTACCTGATACGGTTCCTGAAAAGCGAAGAAGCTTTCCATTTGTCCGCTCAATGACCAACGTCAAACTCACCCAAGAATTGCTTGACCGTGAGGTCAGGCCGATGCCATCATCGTTGAAAGACCATAACCCTGATACTGTATTGGGGTGAGTGCATATTCCACTAAGCCTATATCGTGTCTTCTCCGTCGAATCTTCGAGTATCTCTTATGTCGTTCAAGTTAGATGCAATGATAGTCTTGAGTAATCTTGTCGAACACATTAATTACGAGGATGAAAGCCAAGCCTAGCATGGACGCGCGTGCCACTGTGGTTTCACTGCTTACATAACCCAATTCATTCCTTCATTAGCACGACCACATTGTCGACTGTGACTTATCACTACAGTACTAATAACCTTTATATTTCACTATATGCATGGACCATTCAATTGAGCACCGATTTTCATGAAGAACCAAGACTCGCGGGAGTTGTCAGTAACCCCCGACCACCATCATGATGAGGCAAGTTGTACTAGCTTGAACGTTCGAACCGACATCATGACATGCATGAACTTCGACTTCGACTCAAGGTCACTGTCCTCAAGAACTCCAGGGAATGGACCCTTTGTAGACTTTTAATTATACACCACGATATCCAGAGTACGATGCGCCTATCTCGGGCTCAGACAAAGAAACACTCAGAGTCTCAGACTGTGCAAACGTAATTTGGTAAAGTGCTCTACAACGTTTACCGTTGCCCAGACGTATCAGGTTGTTTTTGGAATTTTGAATTTTAGTGTGAGATACTTTTACGCCGTTTTACCGTCACGTGACGTCCGGGTTCGGCCGGATTTCTGGAACCCTTCTGCTTTTGGGGGCAGGCAAGTCTTTGCGTGCCGCTTTGCATTCTTTCTCATCGCTGGCCAATGCAATCTACGTTTCGAGTTCCTTTCGACGAACGATTTGCCAAACAAATCAAATTATTTTGTCGAGTCCTGCCAGCTGTGTGTGAATCCACGACAAAAAAACAAATCTATGAGGAGGACAGTGCTAGTACTAAGAGACAGAACTTCGAAGCTAGTTTGTGTGCATGCGTGTGTGGGGGTGGTGAAATGTCCATGAGTCTTGAATGGTTGTGCTATGGATCAGTGTGTGCGTGCATGGATGGACGAGGCTTCCTCTATCAACTCTGAGTCAGGAAGACTGAATGCAGGTTGTGATTGTCAGCGTGAGGCGGATGC